ATGGCGGGCCACATGTGGCCCGCGGTCCTTGATTTTGACACATGTGTTCTAAAGTGAGTTTTAGATCCTAACATGTTGGTCAAAGTTAGCAATGATAATTACAGAGAATATAAAAAGTCTACATATCCTTGGTACTTGGTTTTTGTGCCAGAAATAAAACAGAAGTAAACAATTAACATTTGGCACCTTTAATATCTTTAATGCAACCAACATGTTGCATTATTTTACTGTAAGACAAATATATTAGCAGGAACAACAATGTCTGTAGATAGAGCGCAATACCCAAGTGTGAATGCCTGTACAAGGAATATCTTGTTGAGGAAATTTTCTTTGGTTTGAGACTTACGTTATCTACATTATGACTTGATAACAACTGCACAGTGACAAAGGTAGACTGGACCACGTGTCCTCAATATAAAAATGAAAAATAAAATCCTTTCTCATCATCATCATCATTTTAGCAAGAACCTGAAGATTTTTGGCTCCAAACCGACTTTAGGAATATTCAACGTTCAGCCAACTTGGAAGATCGCATCAAATAAAACTCTCGGAATTTTGGCTGAAAGTTGAATTTGGTTTTATCATTGGCAGTTTTCAGCCAAGCCGTCAGCAAAACATGGAGGAAATTAGACGTGTCCGTCCGCCGCGTACCTGGCAGAAGAGCCCAGTGATTTTCTCGTTGCTGTTGTAGGAGGGTGAGTTGACCCAGATGATTCGAATGAGAACCACGATGTGTCGCAGCTTTGAAGCAATTTGTTTTGGCCTGAGATGGGAAAGCTCTTCACAAGGCTTCTTAAGGATGGACAGGAAGGTCAGGTTTGACTCCGCCTGCACCGAGCATTCCTAGGCAGAAGGATATTATGGAGAGGTGATGGTTATTACTTCTTTCTGTCTTTAATAACATTAGCAAGACATTTTAACTCGCTATGGTTCTCAAAGGACACATTCCTTTATTTTGTAAACCTAAACTACTCAAGTTGTCCCACTGAAAAATAGTCTTCCAAATGGATAATGACCCTCAGCATTAGGACATCATGGAATGACCTAATTAGATCATTAGATAATGAAACGTGGTCTCTTGGTTGTCCAATGTTAGAGAAAGAAATAGCTTGTACATTTTTCTATCCAATGCAAATAAAGACCAGGCAAACTTTTCCATCAACTACCTGGAAAACAGTTTCACCTGTAGTTCTGTGGCGAGTTCTTGAAAGCGCTGCAGGTATAAGGACTTGGCCAGATACACGATCTTCTGGATGTGTTTGATGCTTGGCTTCTGCAGCTGATTGCTGATCTCCAACAGCTTGGTGGAGAGACTCTTCCAGAACTCAATCTCCTGCAGCGGGCCGCTCTGTTCCCTCTTGTCCACGTTTTCTTGGATGTTCAGTAACTCTCTGATCTGATCCGTCCAGTGGATTATCATAACTGGAGCAGAGGGTAATAGGTGAGTCAGAAAACAGGAAATGGGGGGCGGGGGTCTACAGACTTCCAGAAGAGATGCAGGTGAGTTTAACAACACAGCATCTCAGTTGTGGATTGTGTCGAGCTTTTCGTGCGAGTTACTACCGCAGATGAGTGTGAAAAGCTGCTTTTCGCCAACATTCCCACATGAACTACGTCGTAAACCTTAAACTCACTCTCCATCCTGTTCACCAGCTTCTTGTCCTTGCTGGCTTCCTCAGCAGAGCACAGTAGGCCTTCCACTGGGATGTAGAGAACTGTTCTTTCTACCTTCTTATACAAGTCATCTGCTCCAGAACAGAAACATGTGAAAAACAACACTGGTACCGACTATGTAGAGAGAAAAACAAAACAAACAAAAAAACACTTTTTTTTTTTCTCACCATTAAGGGAAGAGATGAAGTACTGCATGTCCCTGGTATATTCATCCTTAACCTTCTTCTTGTAGCTGCTGTAGGCAACTGGAATGGAATGCAAGCAGATCATGTCCTCCAGCAGCACCCGGAGGGGGTCGTCCCTCATCGTGTCGAACTGTACCACAAAATCAAAGTTCTCCTCTGTGATTACGGCTCCTGGCATTCGGGTGATGTAGAATAGCTCCTCAATCACCTCCCCCTGTACAAAATTGGAAAAATGTTCAGATGCAGAGCATGAAAAGAAACGGCAAATAATGGTCAACTATAAAACACAGAGTGTTTTATAGTTGACGAATGAAACTACAGACGAATGAAAAATACACAGAATTACGATGTGGGCTACCAGAATGACCTCAGCGAGGAGCTTGAAGAAGCAATCGTAGCAGACCATCAATTTGGGAATGGCTACGGGAACGTTATCAGAATAACTTGAAATCACTCGTTCTACAGTGAGAACATTTGTAAGTGAGGAATATTTAAGACAGCACATAATATCTCCCGAAGTTGATGCCCCAGCAAATTAACTTGAATCTCAGGCTGTGTAACACTGAGAACCTCAAGAGCTTGGGACCAGAGGGAGTGGAGGTGTGACAATCTGGATCAATTTAAAGAATCTGAAAGTCAAAGGTGAGACTATGTATCCAACATGACAACAATACCAGTCACGGCGGCAACTCTAGAGCAGATTGGCTGAAAAAGACAACAACCAAGTGTTAAAATGGCCCAGTCAAAGTTCATCCTTCAAGGTGACTTCAATGCCATTGTAGGAAGAGCTTTGCAAAAACAAATGTATTTTATTTTAATCTCTGCTATGTCTTTCATAAATTGAATTATTTAACTAAATGTTGATCATGCAAACCTCAATGTCTAAGGAGGCAAAGCTATAGGTGGATTGGGCCAAAACTGTTTTAACAGGAGGTTGAAGGAATATTCTTATTAGATTGAATCTTGCTTTTTGTTATCTGAAGGTCCTTCAAAAATTATGAAGACTAATATCAATCCTAGTGTGAGTCAGTAAGAGATCCTGTATCTCCAAAAAGCAGTTAAACACCTATCTAATAATACCATTCCTAAAAATACATTAGCATAAATAAGTCATCGGTTTTTTTGATAATTTATTTATTAATCCTAAAGGAAAATGTAAAAGTTGTAATTAATTTATATAACAAGTACAAAAAAGAGAGAGAAAGAAAGAGGGACCTCCTGTAACAGTCTGTATTACTGAAGACACTCTGTTTTTCTTTGCCAATCTCATGAAGATGGTAATAAAGGGAAACTAACCAGTGGCGGGGTTCTGAAATCCACCCGAAGCACGTTTGATCTGTGCATATAGACAACTACAGATCCAATGGAAGTGTCCACAATAAACTTATCCAGGGTCTCCATGTTCTCCTCTGTCCATGTCATCTCAGTGACTCCAGAAATAGACACACAGCTCATGAGCATCTAGAAAGGGAAAAAAAAACCAAGGTGATTCTGTTCAAACATAACGTGAATTGTGATTATTAATTGAACTTTACCTGACGGATGTTTTTAATGTAATCTTCTTCCATGTTGTTGCTTCTTATTAAGCGTTATCCTTTGACATCAGGGTGACTACGACAGCCTTTTCTATCGACGTTTATATTAATAGTTGGAGCTTATCGAATAGCTAATGAATTACGGTTAGCTTACATAAAGGTGGTTCAGGAAACGTAAAAGTTCAGTGGTTTCAACGTAACTTCTAATATTTTCAGCGTTCAGCAGGTTATAAATGCTTAAGTTACCTTAGTAGCTTTCGGTTGTTCTCATAAACCATAAAAAACTTTTAAAAAGCTAGTTTACGCGTTATGTATATAACTTTATCGCATTTGTTTCTTCTTTTTCCTCCATTTAAACCTGAGCCACTCTCAGTGTGTCAGGGTGTCGTCATGGAAACGAGTAACCGCCGAACTCCCCGGTAGTCATGGGCATTCCAGCTTCTTTTCAGGATCCGGATCATTTGGCTCGGTTCTCAAAACAAAAGAGCCGACTCTTATACACTCCCAAACGGTGCTTCTCAACCACTTCCAGCGTTTTCATTAAAACAAGTTTTATTCTTTTGCTAGTGATTTAAAAATGTTAAAATTAGAATGTCATTAAAACGTGTATTTCTGTAATCAGTGAAAACTTTAAGTAAATTCATTATTTTAAAAAAAGAGGTGTTTTGTGTTAGTTGTGATGATTATGACTAATGAAAATCCAATATTAGGTAATAGTACAAATATTTAACACAAACGTTGTGTTATGACTGGTATGTCCTACAATCATGGGCAAAACGGGGCTGAATTTGACAGTTGTTCAAAAGGCAACCTTTCCAACATTTTTGCAAAACTGTTTCACTTGAGGCTAATTAACTTGTTTCTTTACTATATTTAAATACATCTATAGGATATTGTCAACAGGCAGCGTAACAAACAGAAATAAATGCTTGAAATGTGTCACTCCTATGAACCAAATATTGTATAAATTTCACTTTTTGAAATGAATTGGTGGAGATATTCTAAATGGTTGAGCAGTTTCTGTATGCATGAAAGACTATAAGAAATTTACCACAAAAGCATTTGTACACATGGTTATGCACCCTCCTCCCTCTCAGACAAACCCTGAGGAAGTCTGTGGTTGGTCTTTCAGGACAATCTTTAACTCTGGATACAACCTTGAACTCACCCTCTCCTTCCTCAGTGCGTTCCCCGTTCTCATTACAGGAAAGTTCTTCCTCCTGGCTCATTTTCCTCTCTTGTTCGTCTCTCTCTCCCCCCTCTCACGAGTTTTAAGTCTTTTCCTGCAGGGACTTCTGGTGTTTTTCTAACAATACTGACTGAATCCAGACCCTTTGTGTGCAGATCTATTTTTTTTCCCAAGGCTTTCCCCCCCTATGTAGAAATGTATAATATGCTTTAAAATGAATAACCTCACATCTACTATGTATTTTCAGGCTCTTTCTGTTTTGCTTAACAGTATAACTTTCCAGGACTGCTACATCTGTGTTCCATATATGTTGAGCAAAGTGGCAAGAAGTGTGATAATCATTTAACCTGCTGCTATATTGTTTTACTTTGACTCTGAAAGACAGGTCTTTAAGAAATGGAGGGGTTAGGAAAAAAAATTATAAAAATTTGACGGACTTTGAGAGAAGCCGGTTTTAGCAAATGGCTCTTTGGGAATCATAAAATCCTATTTTCTGTCTTTCCAATGTTGTTTTATACATACATA